CAAAACAATTGCTTTATTTCATAGTTTAAGAAAAATACATCATTTCAGATTGGTCACAATTGGAAGATAACAGCAAACAATGTCATTTATCTTTTGAAACTGTATTTGCAAGATGAAAAATCTGCCTAGGTAATGAAAAATTCTTAAATAAATTCCTTTCTGTTACCATCCACTATACAAGGATTGCACAATATTCTCTGCTGTTATCAAAAGTAAAAAACCTGTCTTTTCATATGTTCATTCAATATACTGTATTTTATGTTGAGATTTATTTAATATGATGATCATAACTTATATTAAATGAAATGTTTGACATATAGTAGATTAACTTTGTGATTCATCAGTGAAATTGTCTTTAACATCCTTCCTGTTACTGATTATGGCTATGTTGTTACTTTTTATCAGGTAACATGACAGAATGTAACAGAAAGGAATTACACAGTACTTTTTGTCATTTTATTCGAATTGTGTAGAAGTTTACTTCCATCTACATGTCAATTTAATAAGATACTATAAAAACACATTTACTGTTATAGTGCTGACAATGAAACATTCTCAGAAGGTACACAAAAAGGCTGTAACAGAAGAAAACAACAAAATTATTTTTCTCTAAATTCTGATCTTTGGGGAGTTCGGATTTTTCAAACTGGCTGCCATTCACCTATACATATGGAGTCATACATTCAGGAAATGATGCTCTTCTCATTGCATTACAAGAAATAAAACCTTGGCCTTTAAAACGTTTCCACAGGTGAAAAAAACCAATGGTAACAGGAGGGAAATTACCCCTTGGGACAAAATTTAAAAGACCCTTAAAAATGCAAAATTTTATCACATGCTTTAGTTATAACAAAATCAGACCATTAAGGGACAGGTTTTCTATATAATCTATCATATTTGTGAAAATCGGAACCCTGTTTACTTAATTGAGATATTCCTTTAAATGATTTAGTTGGTCAGAAAACAACACCGGACAACATGATTTGGGGGGGGGGGGGGGGGGGGGGTGAACATTTAAATTATAATATTTTATTAGAAGAAATATAAGAAAGAGTGTTTAATTGGCAATAGTTAGTGCATAAAATACTCTTGTTAATACTGAAACTTAAAATTTTCCAAAAAGATGCCTGAATAAAAATATAATTGCTGGTGAAAGATGGAAATGGAAATTAGACTTTTTCAGATATTGTCTAATATAACTTCTCCATTTCTAGATATTGCTTTTCACGAATTGTTGCATGTCTAGTATATTTCTATGGTAAACAAGCCGTAGAGAGTAGATTAATTCTCTTATATTGCTAGAGAGACATCAATCTTTTTACTCATACAAAATTACCTGTGCACATCATCAACATACTGAATTGTCTGAAAAGCTACTGAACAGTACTAAATGTTTGGGTTGATTACCCATGTTGTCAACATAAGGGTCTTATAACAAACTTTCATACAAGTGGGAAATTTAGCTAGCTATTAAACCTGAGTAAACCCATCATTGTCTTCGGAAAATGCCGGTACCAAGTCAGGAATATGGCAGTTGTTTTTCACTTGTTCCGTTGATTAATAGCGTTTGATTTGTCAGCTTGTATGGACTTCTTGTTTTTGAATTTGCCTTGGGGTTGAGTATTTATTTAAAACTATTTTTAAATGAAAGAGAATTGTCTGGTAAGTACTTAATTAACCGAGTAGATAATTCTGATAATTGAGGGAAAGACTGAACATGAGTCGATAGATATTGTTCAAACCTTTCAGATAATGTTAAGTCCAAAATGACCGTTTCAGATTAAAATTCATTTACAAATGTACTAATGTTGTAATTAAGGTTTCATCCGAAACTAGAAGGTCTTCGTCATATCGTGATCTTGTACTTGATATTGACACAGATAGACGACCTTAATGCTTTCAACTTTCCAATTTTCAACTATATTATGCAGCAGTAACATTCACTCTTGCCATTTATATTGGTTTTTTAGATCTTGATCACTACGTTACTCTCGTTCAACCGCACACTATACGGACGTGTGATCCTGACAGGAAGTTGTGATAAGGAACTACTGAAATTGACTGAATAAGCCTTTTTCAACTGATTTTTATAGTGTGTTCTTATGTGGTACTGTTACACTACTGTCCCAGGTTAGGGGAGGGTTGGGCGCCCGCTAACATGTTTAACCCCGCCACATTCTGTATGTGCCTGTCCCAAGTCAGGAGCCTGTAATTCAGTGGTTGTCGTTTGTTGCTGTGTTACATATATGTTTTTGTTCATTATTTTGTACATAAATTAGGCCGTCAGTTTTCTCGTTTGAAATGTTTACATTTGTCATTTCGGAGTCTTTTATACCTGACTATGCGGTATGGGCTTTGCTCATTGTTGAAGGCCGTTATCGATTTTTATTGATTTTTGATCTTTAGGTACTTTGTCTTCAATACTAGTAATCCTTTAATCTGTACATTTACAAATTGTTCCATTTTCCGATAGTTATATATTTGACTGATTTGGGATACTCATAGCGGGTGATGCATACATACTAGTAGTAAGAGATTCTTACCCTGTCAGTGCATCCAATCTCGCTGGTTTTGGGCCTTGAAAGATTCCTTCTGTTTTTGTTTTATACTTAGAAATAAGCAAATATAGGTAACCATACAGCCTTCAACAAACGGGGCCGAAATGACAAAATGTAAAACAATTCAACAGAGAAAACAAACGGCCCGATTTATGTACAAAACAATAAACGAAAAACATATATGATGAACAGGAACCAACGACGCACAATGAATAACATGCTTCTGATGTCTGTAAGGTTGCATATGATTCCTAACATCCATTTCATTTGAACTTTGGTGGATAGTTGTCTCATCGGCAATTCTACCACATCTCCTAATTTTTATCATTCTGAAATGAAAAAGGCACATACATGAACAGAATGTGGCAAGTTAAACTTGTCTTTTTAGCGCTTAACCGTCCCCGAAACCTGGGACAGTGGTTGTACAGAACAACACCAGAACAAACTATAAAAAATCAGTTAAAAAAGCTTGACTCATCAGATCGACACAAAGAAAAAATACTACTAACAAAAAGACTAAGGACACAAAGTACCGATCTTCCCGCAGCTATTGAAAGCTAGTTGACATGAACTATCATTAATATGTTCCTTTCCGTAAATCTACTGTGCATAACATGCAATTGTGGTGGACGTTTCGTTCCCGAGGGTATCACCAGTCAAGTAGTGAGCACTTTTATGTTGATATGAAATATCATTGATACATGCATGTTCATTTTCTGTAAATGTACTGTATAGAAAATGTTGAAGGATGATTCGAAATACTAATGTTTTCTATTCCCAGGTGAAAATTGCCTCAGACGTATTTTGCAGAACTTTTCGGAATTTATCAATTTGTAAACATATAAAACTTCGTCTTTACTTTGACCATTCAACTGTTTTAAAATGATCAACATTTACGAAACGCGCTTCTGGCGTAAAAAATTCTGAGCCTGGTATCTTAGATGAGTTTAATCAACCACGTTGTCGATGCCACTGCAAGTGGACGTTTTGTACCCGAGTGTACGTTGACATTAAATATCATTGATATGTTAATGTTCTGTAAATTTACTGGATATTTTATATTGAATTATATATTCGAAACACTGTTTTTCGAATCTAGGTATATATAGCCGTAAACCGTATTTGGTACAACTTTTCAGAGTTTTCGGTTTTTCAAGCTCTACAACTCCGTATTTTATTTGACCTTCCAATGGTTTGGAATTGAGCTCCACTGACAAGTCTTATGTAGACTAACGCGCGTCTAGCGTGCAGAACTTTAAGCATACTAGCTTTGATGAGTTTTACGACCGCTTTGTCGATGACACTGCCAGTGGACGTTTCGTCTCCCAAGGGTACTCTGACATGAAACATCATTGATATGATTGTTTATTTTCTATAAATTTAATGTATATAAAATGTTGATTATTCGAAGCACTAAGGTTTCTTGCCCATATATATAAATTGCTTTAGGTTTTTCTTAACTTTACGGATTTTCTGCTTTTTTAAAGCTCTACAACTTTGCATTTGATTTGGTCTTCAAATTGTTTCCAATCGACCGATACTGATGAGTCTTATGTTGACAAAACACGCGTTTGACATACAAAAAATAGAAGCCTTGGTTTTTTTAAATCAAATTACTACCAATTATCTTATCATGTTTTCCCTGACTTAAATCAATCAGTACACATCAAATAACTTAGTGTAAAGACGCTATAAACAGTCTGAAAAATGTATCACCTTTTACAATGCCGAAATATAAGTATCGGCAAGATGTAGGACCGTAAGTGTTCATTACTGTTAAGGTAAAAATGGTGTTACGTTTTAATTTGATAATAGGAAAAACAATGTTAATACAGATAACACAATATTCAACGATCTTATTACAATTTAAAATATATAATCTTAAGAATAAACATTTTTAAAGGACAAGTTGATATGAATCGTATCTAAACTTACGTGCTCTATAAACAGTATCCGTGTAAAAAGTAGGTTGTGATATTCTGTTTGTATTAAGATTTCTACAGATGACATCTGTAATTAAAAGGTTTTAACTAATTTATGGTAACAAAATTCCTGACTTTATCATTTATCAGTGATACGTAGATAACTTTTATTGAAATCTATAACGTCACTTAAGACACGAGCATAGCGAACGAGTTAGGATATAAAAACACTGTAAGATAGAGCCAAAAAATATCACCCGTAAAAATATCAAATCAAACGGAAAATCGTCCCGTTTGTCGTAATATTTTTAATGACATATCTAAATTTAGGTAACGATAGTTATAGCTGTTATATTAGATTTGTTTAAATAATTTCAAATGGCTTAATTGTAGCAGTATATTCATAGCCTATTCCTTATTATTTATCGCAAAAATATCATCAAGGAAGTGTTGCTCAATTGATCAATAAAATGCATTATTTTCAGTGTTTTTATTCATTTAGATATATGTAATTTTCTAGGAAACTGGTTTGGATGTTGTGGAAATGCTCAGGACGACGACTACTGGAATGTTACACACCGGAAAATAGGTAGTGACAATCCTGACTGGATGAGCAAATTACAAAATCCGGATCGATTGTCCTTAGCTGGCATTTCCATACCTGGGACGCATGACACGATGGCGCGTACAACCTTTTTTCAGTGTGCTTGGTGTCAGAGTTTGAGTTTACCTGATCAACTATTAACTGGAATACGTTATTTAGATTTACGATGCCGCTATTATCGCAATGATTTGTTAATTTATCATGGTTGTTGTTATCAAGATAGCTCATTACGCGGTTGCCTTCTGGAGATGAAAACCTTCCTCAGAACTGAGAATAGTAGGAACGAGTGCTTACTTGTAAGAGTTAAAAGAGACGATGACGTTCATGATGGTAATCCGCGATTAGAAAACCGCGAGTTTTGTGAATTATTTCGTTTAATTTTGGGACAGGTAAATGATGAAGAAAATAACCTATTTTGGCTCGAAGAAAACATTCCAACCCTTGATGTTGCAAGAGGAAAGATTGTCATTTTACGTAATTTTGATAGACAGCCTGAAGACGAAGTACCACTTGGCATACCGTATGGAACACTGCGCATAGAAGATAACTATGCCCAGAATAGTTATTCACAGAGATTTGAGTATACTAGGAATCACTTACTACTAGCGCAGGAAGAGAATAATCTACCTGACTTGTTTTTAACTCACAGCAGTGCTGTCATATGCAAGATGTGTCCTCCACGTGAAAGCGCGAGAAGATTAAATCCAATGCTGTATAATTTTATAAATGAACAAGGAGGACGTCTTGGAATAATAGCAATGGATTACCCGGGGCCTGGGCTCATTAAAAGAATTATCCAAAACAATCTATTCAGTTGATATGTTATTAGCAAAAAAATTTATAAATCTTATTCAGAAAGGTAAAGAAAGATATACCGTAACATATAATGTATGTGAGTGACACCCGTCATAATTCTACATATTCTATGTATTCTTGCACTAAACATGCTAAATATTAGTTTCCTCATTTTGTTCATTTATTCATGATTATGCTTTCTTGCAATATTTTGATGTTGTCATTATGCTATTAATTCTCACTTATATTCATCTTAATGTTAGTTCCCATTGTATAATTTTAGTTACATTTGTATACGTTTTGTTACCCTTTTTGACTTAGTTTCATAATTCATATTTTTCTCCACTTCATTCGACAATTGGCATTTACGTTGGCATTAGATGTTACAACGGTTGTTATATCTAATCGCCAATAAATACATCTATTATAATACATTTCATGTGTTTGTTTTAACATTTCCCGGTTGTAATAGAAAACTTCCTGTTAGGGATGGGACATTGCCTGTGAACAATAACGTTGTCCTTTGCCTGACCGGAAATTGTTCCTGATAGATTCGGATCAATTGCACTAAAAAATGCTAATAAATTCTTTACTTTATCAAGATAGTGCTTGAAAATTATAACTTAATGCATAAAACCCTACTTTTTAAACTTTAAATTATAAACTGTAAAAGTTACTTTAATATTATATTACCCCTTATGAACAAGCATACATGTACAGTTAAACAAATAGTAATCAATAAAGTTTGATAATCCAGTTAATTTAAGGTGTGGTTGATATTGACCATTTGTAAGAAATATTAAGGTTAAAAGAAAATCGAAACGACGTGACTCCAAAATTTTAATTTTCACAAAGTCAATCAATCTGATTATTTAAATCTTGAATATAAGCTTCCCTATAATCCCAACTTGAAGAAACCCTTTTAACATTCCTTAAAGATGTTGGGTCAGCATGGTCAGTGGTAAACATTAATAAAATTAAGATTTTTCTCATTAATATTGTCAAAATAGTGTGTTTAATATGGTTTTGTTTCACCAACTGTCTGAAGTTTTCAGAGTTTGATATTTAAAGGGCATAAATATTAAAAATGAACACTTTAAAGTTGATACTGTTTTTCTTTATAATGAATTTCTTCTCATTTGCACATGCATATTAAAATAAATTATACACATTTTATGCAAAAGGGAAAAGATATACAACATATTAAATAAACACAGCTAAAATAGTTTAATACATTGTAGAATGGGATTGCAGCAAAAGGGCTGCTTGGATAGATAGTACATGATTTTAATTTATACAACATATGGTGTCTGTTGTTTATCTTTGTTTTTATGACAATAAAGGAGTTCAGGGGTTCAAGCAGTTCTCCGCCCTACTGAGTCTTTTATTTTGTTTTATAAAATACATATTTTTCTACTAAAAAGTGTTCTTTTAAATTATTGTTTAACGCTATCATATTGGTTTGTTCTATCGATAACTTAACTATAAAACCAGGTTTAATCAACCATTTTATACATCAGGAAATGCCTGTACAAAGTCAGGAATATGAAAGTTGTTTTCCATTCATATTTGTGTTTGAGCTGAATAATTCATCAGCGATGTTTCTTAGATTATTTTGACAAAATTGAACCAAACTGCCTGCTAAAAGCAAATTAAAATTTCACTATTTCACTTTCATTAATAATGGTTGAACAAAAAAAAATCCTACTTATATAATTATATTTATATCTCGTAGCTAATGCCCATTTAAATATAGAATTTTGTGCACAGAATTATTAAGTTTCTTATGTCATTTTATTCGTTTATTTTAAACATCAAATATAACCAAATCTATATTTAAAGTAAGTTCTATTTCTATCTTTTCAAATATCCAGGAGTTAAGGGTTTTCCCATAATTTTGATACATACGGTCGAGTCCAAAATATATGTTCTATTGTTTATTATGTTTTATGAAAGAAATTTCTGTCAGGACAGGTACCTGTTATATTTTTTCCATTCGTAGTTGTTGACCAAAACTACATGCTCCTCCCCTACAATCATGATAAATTCTTGCCCCTTTTAACAATGATGTAGACGGAATCAAAGTTATAATTCCAGTTAACTTCAATTTTGGACAGCTTGATTCCTTTCCATCTAGAAACTGTAGTACATGGAGAAGTGCAATATTCTTAGGGATTAAATTGTTACCCCTAATAATCAATCCCTCCTGTTCCAATTCAACTGGCCAAACCATTCATTGGTTAAGTTTTATAGACTAAATTAATATTTTACACAACAAAGATTTTAAAAAGGATATACATTTCTCCATCTCCCGTTCTTAGCAAGTGTTAAAATATTCAAACAATCTTTTAAAAACACATGTAACACATCCTAACCAATCAGATTTTACTTGAAATTGTACATAATAGAATCATGAACAAGCAAACTGGCAAAGTCGGGAACTTTTTAAATTTCATCATTTAACAAATATTTTAACATTTTTGAAAAACAGTTTATGAAAGAGCGGCGAAAGATACGGAAGGGACTTCAAACCCGTAAGCCGAAAATAAACTGACAACGCCATGGATAAAAAAGAATAAGACAAAGAAACCAACAGTCCACAAAATAAAACAAAGAAAACCAAAGACTGAGCAACACGAACTCCACCAAAAACTGGGGTTGATGGCAGATAGCTCCACAAACGGCACCCGACGTATTGATCATGTAAATACAAACTCATTGATAAGTCGGTAGGTCACATTCTGGGAAAAAGGGGCAGATTTGTTATAACGACAATTGGAACATATCCGTCGTCATCTGTGAAACAGATATTCAATAAGGGTCACCAACTCGTGATGGCGTCAGTAAAATCTGCGAAGGGATGACTTCAACTTCACCACTTGGAACCCTTGGCTGAGTAGCTTCCTAGTGAGAATCAACCCTCTACCAAGGAAATTATAATAGGAAAAACAAGCCCTGGAATATCGTATCAACTGGGAGATATATACTTCCTAAGCAGGCGCTGCTGGAATATTGCTACATAGAAATGGAAAGTTCACAATTGGGAGCTGAAATCATCTCTTTTGTCGTTAAATAGTATTTTCAACCGACCGTTTTTGTTTTCAACCGACCATCATTGTAAATTTCGAGATGTAAGTCAAGATATGAGGCAGACTAAACTGTATCAGTTGTATCCTTTATCTCAAGTTCGGTGGGATAGATGCGTTCAACATAGTCACCAAATTTTGAATTATTAAGTGAGAGAACATCATCTATATAGCGGAAAGTGAAGTTAAATGACACTGCTAAATTCTTTTCTTCCTTAGAAGTTCCTGTATGCATTCAGCCTCATATGAAGAAAGGAACAAGTCGGAAAGAAGAGGAGCACAGTTAGTGCCGATTGTTTGTTAGAAAGCACGTCGTCCAAACGTATCAAATATGTTGTCAATCAAGAAATCAAGCATCATGATAATGTCAGTTTCAGAAATTTTTTTGTTGGAAATTGAGTGATTTTTTACAAAGTACGATTTATCCCTCCATAAGACAAGATACTTGTTTCTACGTTTGCTTTTTTTTTATGAAACAAAGCAGGACCAACTCTTTCAATTTGTCCTCTAAATTTCAATGGGGAGTACTTGTGTAAAGTGTAGAAAGTCAAATGTTTTAATACTATTGCAAGATGAACAAGTCTTAGATTGTATATACTCTAAAAGATCTTTGGATTTTTTTTTAAGTATCCAGATCTGATTCACGTCACCTCTAGAATAGGTAGTTTTGCAATAACTTTGAAGTCCAGGTTTGATTGCTGATAAAATTAATGGTTATTATTTAGAAAGAGGTTTCGTGAAGCACTTCGAAGACCCAGCAATATTACGCTGTTGGTAAGGACACTTATGTAGTTAAGGTATCCAATACAGTGAAGGAAGGTCCTGTTCTTCATCTTTGGTTAAAATTCCAAAGGAACATAGAACAGACCTATGATTATCCAGGATTTCGTGGGGGTATATTTTGAGTTTCCAAGAAAATTGTCAATACCTAATTCATTTATCAAGCAGTTTATGTAATAACATTAACGGTACCATTTTTCGGCACCAGATGCTCATTTCGACAACAAATGTCTCTTCAGTGATGTGATTTACACAAACAAACGATGTTCTTCGGGGACGAAAACATACGTGTCATGGAGGTAGGACAGGCCTTGGTGTTTTGCAACATTTAGTTTTTAAAGATAGATGTAGCATGGATATTCATAGACCCATTCAGTTTTTAAATTCTGATTTGTAGCGACGACCTCACAGCCTCATTCCATTCGGAAAGACTATCTACGTCTTCTTTCTCGCGTTTAACCCATTACCTGGCATAATCCTCGACTGAATCCATCAGTGTTTTGAAGTTGTGTTTCTAATTGATGGATTTAGGCTCACAGTATTTCGGGACTTTGGATAACACATTTCACAGAGAAGTATTATTGACACTGGTTAGGTCATTTATAATAACGTCGCCAGTCAGGTTATATATGAATGGGGAAGTGGCACAGATGCAATCAAGAGGTTGAGACGTCAATATTGATATCCTGCAACACGTGTTTGTAATTGAAAATTTTAGTTTTTGGTTTGGTATAGGTTTAAAAAATGATAGGTACAGACTGATCTTTAAAAAAGGGAGGTATTTTCGAGTAAACTGATTTACAATGAAGGATATTGCCCATGTAGATGGCATCGAGACCTTTATTGACAAAGAAAAGTTTAAGAAAAGATCCTTTCTTCTTTTCATTTTTTCCAATGTGACATGGTTTGAAAAGTTGGTCACTGGCTTTATCCGATATGATAACTGTAAGTTTGTATTGGTTTGAATCAGGGTTTGTAACAGTGGTTTCCAAAAAAAAATGTTTTGAAAGTGGTAATGGATAAAGCTTCGTGCGAATGTGATGAATACCTAACGGCTTTTGTATAAATGGCAGCAGGTCATTAATAGAGACATCATGGGAAGTAAATGTGAAATGACGATGACCATGACTGCGTCTACGCCGTAGAGTAGAGTTGAAAATGTGCATCACATGCACCGAGGTACAGGAATGACCAGATAGAATTGAGAATGGAAACGGGGAATGTGTCAAAGAGACAACAACCCGACAGAAAAGAGCCCAAGGCCACCAATGGGTCTTCTACACAGCGAGAAAATCCCGAACCCGGAGGCGGGCTTCAGCTGGCCCCTAAACAAAAATGTGTACTAGTTCAGCAAAAATGGACGTCACCGTAAACTCCGAAACATATAAATGAACCAAAATTTAAAAAAAAGGCCAGAGGCTCCAGACTACGGACAGGCGCAAAAATGTGGCATTAAAATTAAACATGTTTTGTGAGATCTCAACCCTCGCCCTATACATCTAGCTAAAGTAGAATAAACAAACACACAGCAATACGCACAGTAAAACTCAGTTTAAAAAAGTCTGAGTCCGATGTTAGAAAAAGCAAAATGACAACGATAAACATAAATTAACAAATGAGTACTTGCAGTTACTGACATGCCAGCTCCAGGCCTGATTTAAAGATTATGTCTTCATCATATGGAAATCAAGCACAATCCCTCTTTTTAGGGGTTTAGTACCATACCATCATAAAATATACGAGAAGAAGAAAATCATTATCATGCCAACAACTGGTTTTAGAATAAATGTGTTTATTTCCGATGCAAAGACCCTATGTGTGAATCAATATTAATTCCAAAGAATGCCATCTTTAGTGACCTGACAACAGTATCGTAACTTTATCCCTTCTAAATAAGTCTGTTTAAAAATTAGCTTTTGAGGGCAATCCCACACCTCTCTTTAAAAAATATATTGTTCCTATAATATAAAAATAAGTAGATGTGGTATAATTGCCAATGAGACAACTATCGACCAAAGTTCAAATGAAGTGGATGCAAGCAATTATAGGTAAATATTCGGCCTTTAACAATGAGAAAAACCCATACCGTGTATTCTGCTATAAAAGGTCCCGACATACAAAATATGAAACAATTCAATTGAGAAAACTAACGGCCTTATTTGTAACAAAACAATGAACGAAAAACAAATATGACAGACATGAACCAACGACAACCACTGAACTACAGACTCCTGACTTGGGACATGCACAAATGAAATATGTATTGCAAGCCGTTCTCGTCAAAACTATATATGTTTAAACCTTTTTTCGAAAAAATTACACACTGAGAACTAAAAAAAACACACACTGAGAAGTCGAAATGACACACTGAGATTTGAAAAAAGGAAAAACACACACTAATAATTTAAAATTACACACTGAGATTTCAAAAAGACACACTGAAATGAAATAAATTGAAATACACACACTGAGAATTGTTAATTACACACTGAGATTAATATGCACATTA